TGCTGGAGAGCGTAAGGCACGAAGGGGCAGTACTGGTGGCACTGGGAGTACTGCAAGGACTGGGAGGCACCGGGGAGTCGGTAGCAGAAACAGAGGGGTGCTGAAACACTGGGAGGCAGCAGTGGGAGGCACTGGTGTGCACTGGGAGGGCAGGAGCAGGGAGGTGACCTGTAGAGTCCTGGCATCCCCACAGCCTAAGCAACCTGAACTAGCCAGGTGCTGGGTCTTCGACTCAAAAACTGTGTGGCCACACCCTGGCAAGTTACTGGGACTCACAGGAGTTACTGATGGGCAGTGGGGGACAGAATTTGGGGGTACTTTGCTGAAGCCAAGCAATCGTGGTCGCCCTCAGAGGCACAGTTCCCTCTTGACCCAAGCACCCCTGAATTCTGGCCCGTGGAGGGGTGTTGGGGGTGGCCAAAAGGCAGCACTTGCCATCAGACCAACATCGTGGCCTCAGGGAGTCTTGGTCCAACTGCAGATGTTGGTGGCAGGAGCTCGTGAGCATCTCTGAGCTTCAGAGCCATGCTCTCATCATCAGCCTGCCTTTGCTGGGCTCCGAGAATGAGTTCCTGGCTCCTACTCATCACAGCCCTGTCTAGTGCTGGTCCCTGTGGAATGTTTTGGGCTTCAGTTGTGCCAGGGGAGGTTTTCATTGGATATTTGGAAGAATTTCTCTCCTGGCAGAGTGGTGAGGGGGTGGCCCTGGCTGCGCAGGGAGGTGCTGGAGTCCCCAGCCCTGGAGGGGTTCAAAGAACAGGTGGATGTGGCACTTGGGGACATGATTTAGTGGTCATGGGAGTGTTGGGTTGATGGTTGGACTTGATCTTGGAGATCTTTTCCAACCCCTGTGATTCTCTGTTTAACACACAGCTTTGCTGGTCATATTGGGTTTTTAGGAGGTGTTTTATTAGTAAAGGAATTAGAGGTTGGAGTTTAGGGGCTGAAGGATGAGAGGGTAGGAAGTGTTGTGGGTGGGTTTATTCCTGAAACCTCTCCAGAACAGAGTGAGTGCTTTGTTGGCTGACTTGCTGTTCCTTTTTAGGAAGGACACATCAGACTGGTCAGAAACTGCTAATGGAGGTTCCCAAATGGATGCTCTTGCCTTGGAGTCTGCCAGCAAGGAAGCCTACTTCAGCAGGGTGGAAACCTTCACCATATCCTTCCAGCTGCTGAGCTGCCAGCCAGCCACCACCCTCCACGGGCTCTGTCCTCTCAGAGGCTTTCCTCCTTGAGCCCAACAAACCCTGGGGGAAGCTTTGGGCATGGAACTTCTAATTCCTTGGCTTTTGTCCTTAACCTGTGCACCCCCTGAAGTGGGCAGGCAAACCCCACGAGCTGTCCCCCCTGGTGTGTGCCAGGTATGGCTGGACCAACGTGGAGTGTGACACTCTGAAGTGCTCCAGCTGCCAGGCCTTCCTCTGTGCCAGCCTCCAGCTCACCCTGGACTTCAGCAAGTGTATGTGTGGGGTTGGCCTGGGGAGTTTGTGGGGGTTGTGCCTCAAAAATGGCTTCTGTAGTCCTGGCCTGGGAGGTGCTGGGGGCTTGATGTCTCTGGAAATAGAGAGTGAGGCAAAAAGTGGTAAAAATTCCTGCTTTTGTTGTCAGAGGTGGGTTAGAACAGAGTAGCTGCAGTTGGGTGGGGTCTACAAGGATCATCTGCTCCCCTTCAGGGCTCACCAAGCATTGAAACACCTTATTAAGGGCATGGTCCAAATGCCTCTTAAAGGCTGCCAGGCTTGGAGCATTGGCCACCTCTCTGGGAAGCTTGTTCTGGAGTTTGACCAGCCTTTTGGTAAAGAAATGCTTCCTAAAATCCCATATGAGCCTCCCCTGGTTCAGCTTTGAACCATTCCCCTGTGTCCTGCCATGGGATCCCAGGGAGGAGAGCTCAGCACCCCCCTGTCCACTTCCCCTCCTGGGGAAGCTGTGGAGAGCAGTGAGGTTACCCCATGTCCACACCTCCAAACCAGGCAAACAGAGTCCTCAGCTGCTCCTCACAGCAGCTCCTTCCTTCCAGGCCTTTCACCACCTCTTTTGCCCTCCTCTGGATGCATTCAAGGACCTTAATGTCCTTTTTAAAATTTTGTTTCCTGGCTACTCCTGCAGTTGTTGAGCCTGGAGCAAAGGAGGCTCAGGGGAGACCTTCTGGCTCTGCACAGCTCCTGACAGGAGCCTGGAGCCAGGGGGGGGTCGGGCTCTGCTCCCAAGGGACAAGGGACAGGACAAGAGGGAACAGCCTCAAGTTGCCCCAGGGGAGGTTTCAGTTGCCCCTGAGGAACCATTTCTTGCCCTGGAGGGCTGTGGAGGCCTGTGCCAGGCTGCCCAGGGCAGTGGTGGAGTCCCCACCCCTGGAGGGGTTTCCAAGCCGTGGAGATGTGGGGTGAGGGACACGGGGCAGTGGGGACCTGGCAGGGATGGGGGAGGGTTGGACTCTGACTCTAAAGGTCTCTTTCAACCTAAACAGTTCTATGCTCAGTCTGCTGCTCTCATCCTCCACTCAGTTTCTCTCATGTGAGCTATTGATGGCTGCTGGTCACCAAATCAGCCTGTTCAGGAGGTCACCCTCTAATTTTCCTTGATAAACTCCTCCCCTTTCTAAACTACTCAAGCCATCAGCAATGTCAACCCCTCAGCCCCTGCAGCATGAGTGTCACTCATGAGCCACCCAACAGCAATGGCCTGTGCTTCATCCCCCTGCCCACACCTTCATCTTCCTTCCTCTGCAGGAAGACATTTACTACCCCACCTTGTTCTCAGGGAGAGTGAGGCTTTGGTGTCACAGAAATGTTTTGGTTGGAAGAGACCTTTCAGATCCTCAAATCCATTGGAGCCTGCTCCAAATGCAGCTTGTAGTGGGGAGCTGCAGGAACGTTTCTTTAGGGGCCATTCTGAATATTGATGGGCTCTGTTTGCTCAGATTATCTTTGCTAAATAAACCTTGGCCTAATTATTCTGTTGGTAATGGCAGTGGCTTTGGAAAATCTGAAATAATCACAGGCTGGAAGAAGGGCTTGAAAAATAAATTAGAAAAAAATAAATTTAGGCCTGAAAGGTGTGGAGAAGTTTAATGAAGTATTAAATCATTTGGGGGGAAGTTTGATCTCCAGCCTTGGCTGTGGTTTGGCCCCTGCAGCCAGAGTGGAGGGGTTCAGGTGAGTTCAGCTGGGACTGCCAGCAGCCCAGGAGGTAGAACTGGCAAGAGCAAGCGTGGTGGCTGCTTTGGGCTGTGCCCCCAGGGTGGGCTCCCCTGCTCCCTGCTGGGATCTGGAGGAGGTTTTAGCTTCAGGGAGGTGCCAACCCCTCTGGTGACATTTTGGAGACAGCCCCTTGAGGCATCCTGCCTTTGGTGCTGCGTGGCTGCCTGCGGGGAGGCTGGAGCTGCAGCAGCAGCTCCCTGTGGTGGGGAGGAGCAGGAGGAGTCTGAAAGGAGAGCCCCAGGTGCTGACAGGAGGAGCAGGGGAGCCCTCCCAGCCCAGTGCCTTCCTCTCCCAGGCTGGCTTCCCCAGGGGTTCCCCAGGAGGTGGCTCTGCAGGGGAGTGGGACAGAGCTTTGCCTTGCAGATAAGGAGCGTTGTGTGGAGCTGAGGAGGGCCCTGTGCACTGCCCACGAGAAGTTCTGCTTCTGGCCAGACAGCCCCTGCCCAGGTGGGTGCCTCAGAGCCTCTTCTTCTCCTTCTCTGTTGCTGCTCTTGCCTCTGGCTGTGGGAATTGTTTGTCTTCAAGTTCTCCAAGCAGGCAAAGTCCTCACAGTCCCTTTGTCACTGAAACACACGGTGGCAAAGCAACAGCTCTGAGCAGCCTCACAAAATAAACAACCCAGCAGTGGCTGGAGCCCCAGGCTGGGCTGGACCCAGCCTCTCTTAACCTTTGTGAGGCTCTAGGGCTGTTAAAATGCTTTTTGGGTTGTGACTGAAGGGAGAAAGGGGAGGCTGGATGATGTGGGATGCTCCAAGCAGGGCAGAGCTCATCTTTAAAGCTGCACTGTGCAGGGAGGGCGGTGGCAAAGGGACTCTGCTTAGTTTCCTGAAAGCCAGGAGACTCTTCTGGGGAGAACTTGGCTGGACTGTCCTGCCCTGTGGGATGTGTTGGGGCTGGGAAGGCTGGTGGCACAGCTCAGGCCTCCTGGTTTTGCTGTCTGCAGATCGTTTTGCCATGTTGCTGGTGGAGGAGCCCAGAGCCCTTCTGCAGGACTTCCTGGAACGCTTCCAGAGCCTGTGTCAGCTGGAGCTGCAGCTGCCCTCCCTCAGGCCAGAAGACATGAAAAACATGGTGAGTTCCCACCCACCCCTGAGATGAGGGGAGCTGAAATGCCCAGTGACAGTGCTGGGCACACTTAGACTGTGCAGACCCTGACCAAACCAGCCACGAGATCCAAACTGGAGACTCCAGTGTGCCAGCTGGGCAGAGCTCAGCCCTGCCTGCTGGGAGCAGTCTGTCCTCCCCTTGGCTTTCTCCTCAGACATTCCCCACGTGGTGGTTTCACCTGGTGTTTCTGGAAACGTGCAAAAGAGTTTGGAGAAGCTCATCTGCTGTGCAAGCCCCTGACCAGCACAGGCACATGCTCTACAGTGCCCAGCAGAAGTGATTTTTAGGGTTCCACAGATTTTAGGGAGTTCTCCCTGATGGATCCCACCATTGTTTGTTACATCTGAGCTTGCCATGAGGTGAAAAAGCCTGTGGATTGTTCCTTTAGCTGGGATGCCACAAGACTGGAGACAGTCATTGGGTTGGGAGGGACCTCTGGGGATCACCTCATCCCACCCCCTGCTCCAGCAGCTCACCCCCAGCAGGGTGCCCAGGGTCACACCAGCCACGTTTGGGATCTCTCCAGAGCA